ATTTTCACTGTAGGGCGCGTGTGCTCGCCAGACAGACAGAGAGAGACATAGAGACAGAAAGCGAGAAATCACCCCCCAGGGGGGATGGTCACGCCGCAATCCCTTCTCCTCCATTCTCCTCTCGGGATCTTGGGCACGCACGCACACGCGCCCGGCGTGAGTTTTAAGCCACTGGGTCCGGGACACGAACCGTGGTCGACTACGTGGGAGTCCAGCGACATAGCCATTACACTAACTGCTGGTTCCCTGCCTGCCATGAGTTTTAAGCTGCTGGATCTGAGATTCAAACCGCAGTTGACTATGTGGAAGTCCAGCAACATAACCATTATACCATTTGCTAGTCCCGATAAATAATTCTTAAAAAAAACAAAAAAAGAAAAGAAAGAAAGAAGGTACCCACCAGGGAAGTGGCCATGCCACAGTCCTTTCTTCTTAGGATTTATGGACAAACGTGTACATGTGCTCAGAATGTTTTTCAAGCCAATGGGTCTAGAACTTTAACAGTGTAATTGGCCATGTAGGAGCCAGCATCTTAACCACTATGACACTGGCTGGCCTAGATAAGGTGATCTTTGAACAGAGACTTGAAGGAAATAAGGGAGCAGGGAATGTAGATATTTGAGAAAAAGGCAATCCAGATAGAAAGAAACAGCCTATGCAAAGGCCTCACATCAAAAGAATTCTTGGAAGTTTAGACAGTTGGCAAGAAGGCAAGGATGGCTATGGCAGAAAGGACCAGGGAAGGGTTGTAAGCATTGAGAACCCAGAAGCAAGACTGTGAAAGAGGAAGATCACATACAGCCTGGTAGGCCATTATAAGGACTCTGGCTTTTAACTCAGAGTGGGATAGGGAATGACAAGAGCTTAGGATTTAACTGGGTTCCTGGATGACAGTGAGAAGTTTGGCTATTGTACATGGAGTTTATATTTCCTATAGGTATAGACTCTCTAGAGTTCCTTTTATTTTTAAACATTCCTTAACTATTAGATTTTTTTTATTATTAAAGGACAAATCATTTTCAAGTATCTACCAATAATTTTTAAAATAATGTTATTAATTTTAATTATTATTTATACATTTAATTGCTATACATCATTTAGATTATAGAGACTTTACCCAGCTTGACACACACCTCAGTCCAGCCCAGTTGAGTACATATGCACATCCTCATCAACAAATAATAAAGCATATCCGCATCCCACAAATGCCTTACCTCTCCTTTTTGTTTTTTTGGAGAGGTTTTTGTTATAGGGCACGTGAACTCACCAGAAAGACAGAGACAGAAAGACAGAAAGCGAGAAATCATCCCCTAGGGGGGGATGGCCACACCGCAATCCCTTCTCCTCCATCCTCCTCTTGGGAAATTGGGCATGCACACACACATGCCTGGCATGAATTTAAGCCACCAGGTCAGGGACTCGAACCATGGTCAACTACATGGGAGTCCAGCAACATAGCCATTACGCCAACTGCTGGTCCCTACCTCTCCATTTTTTTCTCCAAATTTCCTTTTCTCTTCTTTCCTTCTTTTCCTTTCCTTCCACTCTTACCCTCCCGACTCTTTCCACTTTGGCTCTAGTGTCCATAACACTTTTTGATGCTTGTATGTCCTCCAGTCCTTCGGTCTCTGCATAGAGTGCTGACAGTCAGTATATGTTAAGGGGAGACTCTCTGGCGAGCGCATGTGCCCTATAGCAAAAACCTCCACCCCTCCCCCCCAAAAAAAACAACTGCAATGTCTGGGGACCAGCAGGTGGTGTGGTGGTTAAGGTGCTGGACTCCCAATGGCTGACCAAGTCCTGGACCTAGTGGCTTGCTTTCTCACTTTTCCTCTCTCTCTCTCTTGCCAAATTAAAAAAACAATCATAATTATTATTATGGTAACATAATATAAATAAATAAAATCTTAAAAAAAAAATTGCAGAATCTGGTTCAGTAGGTCTGAGTGGGCCTGAAACTGCTGTACGTGTGAAAAGCTCGCTCTCGGGTGATACTGATGTGCAGGTCCTCCAATCATACTTTGAATCGCAAGGCTATATGAATGAGCAATAAACACAAATGCAAAGGAAATAAAAAAGCAAACATTATCTTTATTTAATAATCTTTGATATTTAAAATACAACTCAGTGAACATCCACATTAATAGAATCCTCGGCGTTTTAACAGTGCTTTGGAAGCCCGGCTTTTCTAAGGCCCACACAGGAAGGGCGGTGCGTGTAGTAAGGGCCAGCACCTCTGATAGGGGAGCACACAGAGGGCAGCACAGGGCCCTGAGAAAACAGCACTGCCACAGGGCACTTGCACCATGGCCAAAAGACCTTGCTTTCCTTTCAGATGGTTTTTGTATATGAATTTCAAATACTTATACAGAACAGTAATTTTTAAAAAGTTATGCCTAGTCCAGTGCTGTAGAAATTAATCACATTTCAAATGTACATTTTCCTTAAAAAAAAAAAAACATTAAAAAATTCCAGACACATCTACCTTTGAATTATGCAAGAGACAACTGAGTGTTGCTTAAACAAATCAGAAATTTCCACATATATTTCATTAAATCCTTCTCACTCCTTTGTCTATGTCTTCAGTCTTAAAATGCTATTATTAAACAGGTTAATTGCTATTACCACTAATTTGAAAATGCCAGACTATTTTGGAAAAAAATTAAAATAGCAAAGGTTTTGAATTTTTTAAAAAATCAAAATTTGAGAATTAATGATGTCAGTTTTCTTTTTCATGAAAACATAACAGAACAAAATATTTTCATTGTGTATATGACTTTTTTTTTAAAAAATACAAAGCTGATTCTTTTTTTTAGGCAAAAAAATGCTAGTTACAAAGGGACCAGGAATGAAATTTTTATTTTGAACATTTAAAAATGAAATATTATTTACGTTGCTGAATGATCACTTGATCTGATCTGGTTTGTAATTAAGGCCTCACATACCACATCTACATACTTGTTAGGTCTCAGATATAACAACTTTGAAAACAATGGCCTGAGGCCTTTCCAATGACACACACAGTTTTTTTTTTCTATTTGTTTTTGTTTTTACTATAGGGTGTATGCATTCCGGAGAGAAAAAGAAAGTGACAGAGAGAAAGTGAGAAATCATCCCACAGGAATATGGCCATGTCACAATCCCTTCTCCATTCTCCTCTATTCATGAGACATGTCCAATATGATTTTCAAGTCGCAAGGTCCAGACTCTTACCACAGAGTCTGTTATGTGGAATCCAGTAGTTTAACCACCACACCACCTGGAGGTCATCAGTGTTAATTAAAGAATCCTCCTGAGAATCTGAAACATTGGGCCAGTTAGTGGCATGGCAATGAAGGAGGCTAGATCCCACATGGCCTGTGCGGTCCAAGTCACCAATCTGGTGAACTGAAAAACACACTAAGTGTGTGTACGTGCATACCCAAAATCCAGAGAGAAGAATGGCCATCCTCCCTGAGTGTGCTTTCTCACTTTCTCTTTCTCTCTCTGGCAACACACGCACCTTATAGCAAATTCATAAAAGGATTTTAAACATCAGGATTTATTTTCAACTTAAGATTTTAAAATTATCATATAATAATACCAGAGCTGAATCAATTCATTTGCATTTGCACAGATCTAACAGGCCAGTTTCATGAAGTAGTAACTCTTGGCACTAGCGTAATTTTAAAAACAGTATCGAACATGTAGATATTCAAAATGTGATTTAGTCTCTGACAAATAAAATTTATTTTATTCAACTTAATATTAAATAAAACAATATAGACTACTAGTAGTTTTACCTATGATATTTAACTAGTATAAACTTTTTTCCTCCTTAACTTTGGCATCAGGAATAAAGCCTTAATTAAGAAAAAAATCAAGTTAAAAAAAAAGCACCTCCTTAAATGAAATGTGTGAATTGTAAATTATTTGGCCAAGATCTAAGTTTAAATATAGAATCTACCAGAAGCAATCTTTTCTAACAATTTATATTACTGAAATACTTGTATTTTAATTAACATAAAAATAAGTATGTTAATAGTTTTAGATCACAGTTTAACTATTCCGCACTTTTAAAACATAAATAACCACTTAATAAATTCATGACATCTGAAAACAAGAAAGTAGTATTTCCAAATTTTGTTTAAACTTTACTTCCTAACAGTAGCATCATCACTGTACATATTTTATCCTGGTAATACAAATTATACATTAGAAAAATGATACCAACAGTTTAAATATTAAACATTAAAGTGTTCCCAATTGATAAAATAAAATGGAAATCATCATAAATTTCTTGATAGGACAGTTATTTGAATTCAGTTGTTCCTCATTTTCTTGCAGATGGTTTATAATAAATGGCAGTTCCTGATGTGTGGAATCCAGTAGTTTAACCACCACACCACCTGGAGGTCATCAGTGTTAATTAAAGAATCCTCCTGAGAATCTGAAACATTGGGCCAGTTACTGCTTTGCGTAACTGAATGTTGTGATACTGTGGTTAGGTGCACTGGTATCTATCTCTTCATACTGGCCAATCAATGGCATTAAATGAAGCCAATCCAAACAAGATGGCAATTCACCAGTGATTCTACATCTACGTGCCAAATACAATGATTTCAAAACAAACTTAACAAAACACATTCGAATGTATCCAGTGTGTACTCAGCTTTGCTTTAAGAAGTCCTTAACAAATAAAGGTCAACATGCCATATTTTCTTGAGGACTTTAACGATGGTACATAATGTATGACCATTATAAATTTTATAGTTAAAACATTTAAGTGCATGTTGGTTTCCTCATTTTTGTATTTCGGTAGCTCATCAGTTCACGAGTATGAAATATTTAATATAATTTTTCAGTGGTCAAAAGTAAAGGCCAAATATCCACGGAAAATATGACTACCATACTGAGGCGTAATTACATAGATATTCAATCTTACAGTTTTAGTTTTATAAATCTTGAGGGAGTGGTACTAAATCCCAGCATCTCTTACAGTTCTCACGTTTATACTGGGTTGCTGGAAAAGTCATAACATCATTTTTTTCTAAGCTTTTTAATGCAAAAATGCATCATGACTTTTCTGACAGCCCAATTAATTCTTTTGAAACATTTCTGATTGTTAAGAGAAAATTTTAGATTTTAAAATAAAACTAATTCTGTAAGGAAAACTTCAGAAAAATTTAATTGGCACAAAGTAATAACTAAAAAAAAAAACAACTGTTTTATCCGATAAAAAAGCGATTTCATAATCATAAATAAAAGATTTTTTTAAAAATCTCTTCTAGGTTAGCAACAAATTCTAGATCAAAAACCTTTCCCTGATAACACGCGTGCAGCCGCACCTCAGTAGGGCAACACACCATACTTTAGCTTTCTAAATTGTCAGCTAAAATTTCTCCTTGAATTTTAGCTAACAAGAAATTCAATATTCAAAAAGGAAGAAGAGTGAGGGCTGGGGAGGGCATGACGGGACCTAAAACACCCATTTCAAAGAGACATGGTTCATGTTCATCAAAATCATACTACTATACTGACTCAACAAGAAACTCTCTGTGCACCTCGAATAAAGATTGTTTATCAAAACTAAGGACTTTTTTATATACAGACTCATTAAGTACTGTGAATTCTATCATTCTTTAGCTATTGAGACATGATACAAGTGTCAAATCACAGTACCAATTTAAATACTATTTTTTGTAAATTATTTTTATGTGCCACCATCTCTGGCAAGCTATACCTACTAAAAGATGTGAAGCAGACATCTACATCCATGACTCAACTGTAAATAGAACAGAAAGCTCCAGTCACCGGAGACAAAAATGCAACTTGCTAAAATTGAAGGCCAAGTTTTGTCTATCATACATTCATGGTGGGTATACGTGTTATGTCTCATACCAGAAGGAAACCTGCTTGCATATTATGCTTCTCCTCTTCTTCTGGGCTGGAGAAGAAATAAGGTGCAGGAAGAGGGGTTACAACAAAGTTGTCATGTTCTGACATAAATGAAAAGACACTTGTAAAGATCTGGAAAAGCACATGCTCACACATTTTAAAAATGCTCATTTATTCTCAAATACTTCTGCAGAGCTGATTTCAGAGTTTAGGAATGCACCAGAATCATGAAATAATGATCCCATGGTAGAAAGTTTAAGAAACAAAACCTCAGAAAAGATTATAATTTTCAATAGCTGTAGGAAAATAATGAAAACCAGGTAGCAAAAAAAAAAATCTCTGATACGAGAAAACACCTAAGTGCACAATACACAGTTGGAGGGAGAATGGTTTATCCTTTACAGCACAGACAAGAGATTCTTCCTGACAGTTAATTTGGTTAATGAGAAATAAAAGCAACTGTTAGATGACAAAAGTGAGCCCAACTGTCTATAACAAAACAGAAAAAAGAAGATAAAAACTTTATGGGAAAAGTTGTGTGGCAAGAGCTAGTTAGTTGGATTGCAAAAAGATCCAAGCGGGTCAGCAGTTGGCATGGAGGTTAAGGAGCTGACCCCACATAGCTAACTCAGTGGTTCGAGTCCCAAACCTGGTGGCTTGAAAATCACACTGGGCGCATGTGCGTGCGCATCCAAAATCCCAAGAAGAGAATGAAGGAGAAAGAATTGGAGCGTGACCACCCCCACTGAGGGGAAATTTCTCGGTTTTTCTCTCTCTGTCTCCCTCTGGTGCATATACGTGCCCTATAGCAAAAACTAAAGAAAAAATACCCAAGAAAAATGCCCTTGTTTTAGACATGTTAAGATATTGCACACTCAAAAAAGAAACATTTAGAAAACTATTTTAAATTTCTTTAATTACTGAATGCCTCTTTGGCTAGTATTTGGAAGATCATTATTTATCCTACAGATGCATTTTCCCACTTTCTCATCATTTTGTGTGCAAACCACCTAAAAGTCTTATTTCCTCTGTTGAACATTGTTCTCTTCGACAACATTATCAAAATGGACCCTATGCTGCAATCACACAGGATAATGTTGGAAAGTATGAATATCTAAATGATTTTTAAAAGGTATTATTTCTTTCCTTCAGTTTTCAAATTATTTCTAACAGTTTCCAAAGACAAGGTGACGGCTGCCTGAAGCATGTCTTCTTCACTCATAGCATCATCGCCTGTTGGGAAAGAAACACACGTTTCTTAGAGATTTCTAAGAAAGTCTCAAAGTCATCATCAAAAGGTAAGCTTTCAGAAAACATATTTCTGCTTGAACACTAGCTTCCTTTCTTTTCTCCTAGTTTACATTAAAAAAACTTCTCTTATAATTCTACATTGTTTTTTACAGTAGCAACTGTGCAAGAGAGAGGGGGGGAAGCAGACCCGGCAGTGTCATGCCATGATCCCTTTCCTCTGGCCTCCAGCTCCTCGGGATCCTGGGTGCCCATACCCATTGTGTTTTCAGGCCAGCCTGGGAATCTGAGCCCAGGGTCATCACTTGGCTTTCAGCCTTGCAGGGCACTTGTACTACTGCTGTGCCATAGCGGCTGGTCCAGTTCTATAATTTTTTTTTTTTGAGACTTTTTTTTTTTGCTATAGGGCGCGTGTGCTCGCCAGACGGAGGCAGAGAGAAAGATAGAAAGTGAGAAATCACCCACCAGGGGGGATGGCCACACTGCAATCCCTTCTCCTCCATTCTCCTCTCGGGATCTTGGGACGCATGCACACGCACCCAGTGTGAGTTTAAGCCACCGGGTCCAGGACTCGAACCACGGTCGACTACATGGGAGTCCAGCGACACAGCCATTACGCTAACTGCTGGTCCCCAGTTCTATAATTTTTGATAAATGTACAGTTATACAACCACCACCACTGTCAAGATACAGAACCTTTCCATCGCCCCCCAAGTTGCTCCTCTTTCTGGTCATATCAGGCAACAACTGATACATTCTCGGCATGGCGGATCAATGGAATTATACAGTGTGTGTATAGCCCTTTCTTTCTTTTTTTTGGAGGTTTTGGCCATAGGGTATGTGTGCTCGCTGGAGAGAGACAGAGTGAGGAATCACCCCTCAGGAGAGATGGTCACATCACAATCCTTTCTCTCCCATATTCCTCTTGAGATTTTGGGCATGCAAACACACACACCCAGTGTGATTTTTAAGCCACCAGGTATGGGGCTCAAAATGTGGTTAGCCATGTGGGAGTCCAGCATCTTAACCATCATACCACCCGCTGGCCCCATATACAGCCTTTTGTTTCTAAGAATTATTTAATTAATTATTTAATTTTAATTTAACCAGAGAGAGACAGAGAGAGAGAGGAAAAGAGAGGGAAAGTGAGAAAGCAAGCCACCAGGTCCAGGACTTTCAATCAGCCAGATGGGAGTCCAGTGCCCTTAACCACCACACCACCTGCCAGCCTTCTGAATATGGTTTCTTTCACTTAGCATGACACATTTGAGATCTACGGTATATATAAAGAATTTATGCTTTTAAGAAATTATTTTGTTTTGTTTTTAGATTTCTGTCATAGGGTATGTGCTCTTGTTGGAGAAAGACAGAGACAAAAGAAGAAGTGAGAAATCACCCCCCAGGGGGAATGGCCATGCCACTATCTCTTCTCCTCCATTCTCCTCTCAGGCTTTTGGCATTACACCTGGTGTGATTTTCAAGTCACCAGGTTCAGGACTCAGACTGCTAGATGACCATGTGGGATCCAGCCACCTTAACCTCTGTGCTACCTGCTAACCCCCAGAAGTCAACAACACTTATGCAATTTCTTTTTTTTTTCCTGGAGAGATTTTTTGCTATAGGGCATGTGCGCTTGCCAGAAAGAGGGAAAGATGGTGAGACAGAAAGTGCGAAATCACCCCCCCGGGTGGATGGCCATGCAGCAATCCCTTTTCCTCAATTCTCCTCTTGGGATCTTGGGCACACACACACGTACCTGGCATGAGTTTAAGCCATCGGGTCCGGGACTTGAATCAAGGTTGACTACATGGGACTACAGTGACATAGCCATTACGCTAACTGCCAGTCCCCATTTATGCAATTTCTAATTTTGGCAAGTACAAAACAAGCTGCTACAAGCATTCGCACGTAAGTTTTTTTTGCAAACCTAGGTTTTCTTTTCTCTTGATTATAAACTTAGAAGCTGGACTTCTGAGTCACATGGTTAAGTATGTTTAAGGTATAAGAAAATGACAAACTATTTTCCCAAACTGCTACTCCATTATACATTTTCACTGACAGTGCATGCAAGTCCCAGCTGCTATGACCCTTTCCAGCTCGTGGTATTGTTGTTTGTTAACATGTATTTCCCTATGGACTAGTGAGGGGTATCTTTTCATGTGCTTATCTGTCATCCTTGTATCTTGTTCGATGACATCTTTTTAAATCCTTTACCCATCTCTGAGTTGCATTTTCTTTCATTTTTGTAATAAGTAGGGCCTCACCATGACAAGATCATCCTGCCTGAGCCTTCTAGCTAGGACTACAGGTACATGCCACAATGCCTGCCTCTTTTTCAGACAGCTCTCAGTACGTTGCCAGGCCAGCCTCAACCTTGAGATCCTCCTGCCTCAGCCTCCCTGAGTCCCTGGGATTATAGGCACATAACACCACACCAGCCTTTAAATAGGACTGGGGAATCGAACCTCAGCCTCCCATGTGGTCCCAGCCTGGGGAGTACATTATCTTAACAGAACACAGCACTGTGCCAGGGCCTGTTTGTTTCTTTACTTTTCTTTTTTGTTTTTGAGAGGTTATTGCTATAGGGCACGTGCGCTCGTCAGAAAGACAGAGAGAGACAGAGAGACAGAAAGCGAGAAATCCCCCCCCCCCAGGGGGATGACCATGCCTCAATCCCTTCTCCTCCATTCTCCTCTCGGGATCTTGGGCACAGATGCACATGCACCTGGCATGAGTTTAAGCCACTGGGTACGGGACTCTAACCACAGTTAACTACATGGGAGTCCAGCGACATAGCCATTATGCCAACTGCTGGTCCCCAGGCCTGTTTGTTTCTTACTGCTTACTGTTTTCTTTTAAGAATTGTTTATTTAGGGGCCAGCAGATGGCATAATGGTTATGTCACTAGACTCCCATATGGTCAACTACAGTTCGAGTCCCAGGCCAAGTAGCTTGAAACTCATGTCAGGTGTATGTACAGGCCCAGAATCCTGAGAGTAGAATAGAGAAGGGATCGTAGTGTGGCCATCCCTCCTGGGGGATGATTTCTTGCTTTCTGTCTCTCCAGTAAATGCACATGCCCTATAGCAAAGATCCCTCTCTAAAAGAAAAGTAAAGAATTGGGACAAGCAGTTGGTGAAATGGCTATGTTGCTGGACTCCATGTAGTTGACTGCGGTTTGAGTCTTGGACCCAGTGGCTTAAACTCACGCTGGGTGTATGTACAGGCACAGAATCCTGAGAGTAGAATAGAGAAGGGATCGTAGTGTGGCCATCCCTCCTGGGGGGTGATTTCTTGCTTTCTGTCTTTGTCTTTCTCTGTCTTTCTGGCGAGCGCCCGCGCCCAATAGCAAAACCTTCTCCAAAAAAAAAAAAAAAAAAGAGAGAGAGAGAAAGAATTATTTAATTAAATTTTGTATTATTATTTTATTTTAGTTTTTTTTTTTTTTTTTGAGAAGTTTTTGCTATAGGGCGTGTGCGCTCGCCAGAAAAACAGAGAAAGACAGAGAGACAGAAAGCAAGAAATCACCTCCTGGGGGGATGGTTATACCACAATCCCTTCTCCTCCATTCTCCTCTCAGGATCTTGGGCACACACACATACATGCCCGGCGTGAGTTTAAGCCACTGAGTCCAGGACACAAACTGCAGTCAACTATATGGGAGTACAGTCGCACTGACATTACGCCAACTGCTGGTCCCAAATTTATTATTATTATTATTAATTTTCTCTAGGGCACATGCATGAGACAGAGAAAGCAAGATACCAGGTTCAGGACTCAAACTACAGTCAGCCATGTGGGAGTCCAGCGCTTTAACCATGCCACCTGCTGGTCCCATATTGTTCACTTTGGAGAGTTCTTTACATGTTCTTCTTATAAGTCCTTTGTCAGTTAAATTTTCTTTTCATTTAGCTTCTACTACCAATAATTGGCCAAAGTTTAAGACTTACTAAACCAAGGCCTGGTAAGTAACTCTAGACTTCCTGTTGCTACTTAAATTACTTTCAAGTGTTTTTAATTCTCCAGATGGTAAAATGTATTTATTTTCTACCTAGTATTATCTCTCAGGAATTTTTTGAGGATGTACTCATTACTGTGAAATTGCAAATAATATCTTTAAAATTTCAGAGCAAAACCCCTAAGCACTCTTGTCTGCCTGTTCTTGAATCCAGGGAAATTCAGTGGATTACAAATTAATTTAAAAGTTGTAATATGGGCGCTAGCAGATGGCATAGCAGTTATGTCATTGGACTCCCATATGGCTGACCATGGTTCTACTCCTGGACTTAGTGGCTTTAAAATCACACCAGGTGGGTGTGCATGCATGTCCAAGATCCTGGGAGGAGAATGGAGGAGAAGGGACTGTGGTATAGCTATCCTTCCTGGGGAATGATTTCTCACTTTCCTCTCACTGTGTCTGTCTCTCTCTCCAATGAGTGTGCACACCCTAAGGCAAAAACAAACAAATAAAACTCTTAAAGTTGTAATATGATTAAGGAGGTGAGAAAAAACTATAAGGTACACATGAAGCCTTGTACTGAACAGAGTGTGCAGGTAACAACAAGATGGCAGAGAGTTGTACCGAGATCGTTCCCGAATGCTCCTGAACTCGTGGTCGGCTTTCCACATGGATGAGAGACCTGTCCTGGTGGATCTGCTGCCTGCTGCTGCTGTTGGTGCTGCTGCTGCTGCCTGGAACATTAAAAAGTGAACTGTGTTTAACAAAACAAAACTTAAGAATAGGTGCACCATGAGGAAAACTTCACATGAATATACGTTGCTCCACAAATCAAAACAGACACTGGCATAAGCACTCCAACGATGCAAGGATAATTATAGTCTAATATGTATTATTTTAAAGCATAGAAACACTGCTACTCAGAAACCTAGATATTAAATCTGTATTTATCAGATAAATGAAGTATTTTCAACACAAAATAACCTATAGTACAAAAAAATTCACGGGTAGCTCTTCTTACACAGTAAGTATTGATTTATAGTCTTAATACTATTGGAAGCCACTGAAAATATGTACCTTTGAGAATACAAAGCATCTCAAATTACCATGTAAATTAACATGAGCTTGCCATGGCTGGTCCTTCTTGTCATTCAGGTCTGAATTTAAACACCTCCCAGACATGCCTTTCTTGAACACCGCACCTGAAGGAGTCACTGGCATTTTCTCCACCTCATCGCTGCACTTTAATTTCAGCATAAACTTATCCCCATCTAGTATTTTTCTGTCTCTTTTTTCAAGGCATAAGCTGATGAGAGTATAATCTTATTTACTTATTTATTTTTTTGAGAGGATTTTTTGCTATAGGACATTCTCCAGAAAGACAGAGAGAGAAAGTGAGAAATCACTCCCCGGGGGGATGGTCACGCCACAATCCCTTCTCCTCTATTCTCCTCTCGGGATCTTGGACACGCATATACACGTACCCAGCGTGATTTTAAGCAACTCAGTCCGGGACTCAAACCGCAGTCGACTACATGGGAGTCCAGTGACATAGCCATTACGCCAACTGCTGGTCCCAAGTACAATTTTTTAAGTAATTATTTTATCTAACTTTGTTATCATTATTATTGTTAATTTAATTTGATCATAGAAAGAGAGAGAGGGAAAGTGAGAAAGCAAATCGCCAGGTCCTGGACTCAAACCAGTCAGCCATGTGAGAGTCCAGCATCCCCAACCACTACGCCACCAGCTCTGGCCAAGAGAACACAATCTTAACTTATTTCCTGAGTGCCTAAAACTACGCCCACTATATGGCAGGCATTTACCAAATACTTGATGAATGAAAGAAAACTTTAACACAGACTGTTCGTTTTACAGTAATATCCATTACATTAAGTTCTCTCACTTAAAAAAAGTCATAAACATCTACACTTTAAACATAATGGCTGCGATGTAAACAGGAACAGTCTTGCACTTAGTAAATATACCCTGAAGTATGGAGATGTAATGGGAAGTCACATCTCCAAGTTGTTCCCAGACCATTCAGAAGTGTAAACACCTGGGAAATCAGAGTGAAGACTATGAGGAGGTCTGTGTACTATTTTAGCTTTTATATACATCTGAAATTATGTATCAACACACAGCTGACAACCTGAGAAGCCACAGTATACCAAAAAAATGTACACAAGGATTTAAAAAGGAACCAGAAATTTATTTTTCAGGATTTTTGCCACAGAGAACATGCGCTCACCAGAGAAACAGCGAGAATGGGAAAGTGAGAAATCATCCCCTGGGAGGGATGCCTACACAATTCCTTCTCCACTCTCCTGAGATCCGGGGCACATGTGTACATGCGCCCAGTGTAATTTTCAAGCTGCCGGATCTGGGACTCAAACCACAGTTGGCCATGTGGGAGTCCTTAATCACCAAGGAACTAGAATTTTAAAATTACTAGGAACACTATTAATAGAATGGCACGTTTTCCCTAGAGTTCCTCTCAATCAATCTTGTATTTTAAATGTGAATAATAAAGAAACTGTGAGCCGCGTCTCTGTGGGTTATCTTTTTCCATGACAGCTGATGCAGCAGAGTTCTGCTTGAGGTTTTACAGTGGATTTAGAGATTACCGCTGGAACAAATCACACAAAGAAGCCATGTCTCCACTGGCCTCTGAAGCAGAACCTGCAAAGGTGTTCGACTCTCTAACGTGTGCGGCTGACAATGCACACATGGGCAGTAGTGCCCCGAGTCTGGAATGCGGCATGAGACAGACAGACTAGTAGTGAGGACTTTGTGGCAGATCAGTTACCATCTCAGGCCCTCTCCCTTCCCACTCAAGTGTGGGGCCAGCAAGTGGTTAAGGTGCTGGAATTCCCACATGGCTGACCATAGTTCAAGTCCCGGACCTGGTGGCTTGCTCTCTCTCAGTCTTTCTCTGGCAAAACTCATGTGAAAATAATAATAATAAATAAAAAAAACAAGTGTGTCAGAATGTGAGGGCTTGATACGTCAGACAGCAACTGAAAGGCATAACCTTTATTCTCCTTTCAATTTATGAAAAATGAGAAGTCAACTGCTAGCCTTGACAGTTTGACCCCTGCAGCGGTGACAATCCCGAGACGGAACATGGTCAGCAGCACGCCGCATCCCTTCCCAAGGCACCTTCTCAGAGGCCCCTGCATTACAGAGGCTCGAAGCAAAACCTAGGTGTCTTAGGTCCTTTGCAGGAAGGACTCTGTCCACAAATTAAGCACTTGCAGGAGGTTTAAAAGACAGAAACAAGGCACAGTCACCATGCTATTAATGCTTTGGTTGTTCCTGCTTGCAAGCAAAGCCGCAGACAGCAGTCCCGGAATCCTCCCTCACGGCCGTAACAGTGAGGGCGGACTTCAGAGTCCCATGTCGAGATAACTGGTGGCGGCTGGCTTCCTGGTGCGAAGATCACAGCTAGGGCAGGATGTTCTTTAGCTCAACATCCTCACTTCCCGCTGTCGCAGTTGGGCAGTGGTAGCAGCCCCTCCTGCAAGTTGGTTGGTGGTATTTTAGAAGTCTGGTCTAGAGGCACAGTTCCTGCTTTTCCTAAAATTTTATGAACCCCTGGGACCAGCAGGTGGCGTGGTGGTTAAGGTGCTGGACACTCCTACATGGCCAACCACGGTTCGAGCCCTGGACCTGACGGCTTCCTTTATACCTTTCTCCCCCTCTCTCTCTCTGGTCAAATTAAAATAAATGAATGAATAAATAAAATAAATAATAATTTTAAAAAATTATAAACCCCTAACATTTGTATTAAGTATATTTCTGCCTAAAACATCTCTTGTAGCTTCTGTTTCTTAAACTAAACCCTGCCAAAAACATTACTTAGAGATTACCGCTAGAATAAATATCACAAGTTACGAAAATATCATTTAACAATTCTTATTCATAAACTATGACTTCACATAAGTAGATATTTTTTTAGAGAGAGATTTTTGCTATAGGGCATGTGTGCTCACAGGAGAGACAGAAAGCAAGAAATCACCTGCCAGGGGGCTGGTTATGCCACAATCCCTTCTCCTCCATTCTCCCCGGGGGATTTTGGGCAAGCACGCATGCACATGCGCCTGGCATAACTATAAGCCTCTAGGTCTGGGACTCAAACCGCCGTCAACTACATGAAAGTCCAGCAACATAACCATTACAACATCTGCGGGTCCTGATTTATTTCCCCAGATTTTTTGCCATAAAGTGTGTGTGTTCGCTGGATAGACAGAGAGAAGGAAAGTGAGAAGTCACCTCCTAGGGGTTGATTTGGGTTTCTCCCCCATTCTTTTCTTGGGATTTTGAGCACGCACACATATGTACCCAGTGTGACTTTTAGGCCACAGGATCCAGGACTCAAACCACAGAATTGGCCATGTGAGAGTCCACCACCTTAACCACCGTGCCACCTTATGGCCCCCCATAAGAGGTAAATGTTTAACAGCATTTTTGCACTAGAGAGAAACCCTAAAGTATGCTTTACACGTGATTACTATGGTTACTACATTAAGTATGAAGCTTTAAATATAGAATAGGGAGGAAAACACTATAAAATTGTAAGAATAATGAATTAGCAAGAGTTTGGGGAAGATAAAAGAGAAGAAAGAGCTTAATAATCTCTGACAAATCAAGTTTCCAAAAAAGGAAGACAGAGCCAAGGACCCAGTGGGCTGAGCTCTTTCTCAGCTCTTCTCCTACTGGGTTCTGTGAGGTTCTCAAAGCTAGCCAATGTCAAAAATAAATACAAAGCAGTCAGCTTCTAACTCTTCTCAGCAACATGCTACTACGTAAAGTTCTCCCTAGTATGTTTAAAGTCAATCAGGAGGCAGGATGAAAGGCTAAAGCCGGCAGCCATCACTGCATACCTTCCCTCTAGTCAACTAACTCCTCTTCACTAGGGAAGAGGCCTGCTGATGCCACGGCATTGTAAAAAGGGTGCAAGGTTGGGGCCAGCAACTGGCGTGGTGGTTAAGGGCACTGGACACCCACATGGCCCACCATGGTTCGAATCCCAGATCTAGCAGCTTGCTTTTTCACTTTTCCTCTCTCTCACTCTGTCCCTCTCTGGTCAAATTTAAATAAATAAAATAAAGTTAAATAAAATATTTTTTTAAAAAGGGGTGCAATGTTGACTGCAACATGTTTACTAAACCACTAGTTATTGGTATCATAGTACTTGTTACAACTTAGCCATTATGAAATGTTACTAAATTATCTTCACTACTCTAAAAAGTTGGATTTATTGGAAGCTTCACTTTTTTTTTTTTTTTTGAGAGAGATTTTTGCTATAGGGCGCGTGCGCTCGCCAGACAGACAGAGAGAGACATAGAGACAGAAAGCGAGAAATCACCCCCCAGGGGGGATGGTCACGCCGCAATCCCTTCTCCTCCATTCTCCTCTCGGGATCATGGGCACGCACACACACGCGCCCGGCGTGAGTTTTAAGCCACCGGGTCCGGGACGCGAACCGCGGTCGACTACGTGGGAGTCCAGCGACATAGCCATTACGCTAACTGCTGGTTCCCGAAGCTTCACTTTTTAAAAAAAGTATTTATTTATTAGTTATTATTATTGTTATTTTTTAAAGTTTGATACGGGTATGTGTGCTCACCAGAGAGAGAGAGAGGGTGGGGGAAGTGAGAAAACAAGTCACTGGGACTGGGACTTGAATCGCGGGCGGCCATGTGGGAGTCCAGCACTGTGACCGCCACAGCACCTGCGGGCCCAAGTTTCACATTTTTTTGGTAAAGGTTTTAGCCTTAAGGCACTTGCACTTGCTGGGAAGAGAGACAGAGACAGTGATAGGGAAAGTGAGAAATCACCCCCCAGGGGGGATGGCCACACTGCAATCCCTCCCCCTCCACCTCCTCCCAGGATTTTGGGAACACACATGCACCAGCGAGTTTCAAGCCATAAAGGCCAGGACTTGAACCACGGTCTGTCATGTGGGAGTCCAGTGACGTACTGCTATGCCATCTGCTAGATTGAAGCTTCACATTTTTTTATTTTTTATTTTTTTAGAGGTTTTTGCTATAGGGCACATGCGCTCGCCAGACAGACAGAGAGACAGAAAGCGAGAAATCATCCCCCATGGGGGATGGCCATGCCGCAATCCCTTCTCCTCCATTCTCTTCTTGGGATCTTGGGCACACACGCACACGTGCCCAGCGTGAGTTTTAAGCCACCAGGTCCGGGACGCAAACTGTGGTCGACTACGTAGGAGTCCAGCGACATAGCCATTATGCTAACTGCTGGTCCCAAGCTTTAAATTTTTAAAGCCAAATGTCTAAAACACTTTCTAAAAGTTTACTTTTATATTATAAATATGTTTTGCTCAGAAGTAAGTACTCCTGAAATTTGTAGTTTCTCTATCCAGTCCAGTCTTTTTGGACCATTTTATTCTGGTAAAAAATGTAAAAAGAGGTTTTGGGGGAACCAGTAGTTAGCGTAATGGCTATGTCGCTGGACTCCCACGTAGTCGACCGCCGTTTGTGTCCCGGACCCGTTGGCTTAAAACTCACGCTGGGCGCGTGTGCGTGCGTGCCCAAGATCCCGAGAGGAGAATGGAGGAGAAGGGATTGCGGCATGACCATCCCCCCCTGGGGGATGATTTCTCGCTTTCTGTCTCTATGTCTCTCTCGGTCTGGCGAGCACACGCGCCCTCCAGTGAAAATCTCTCAAAAAAAAAAAAAAAAAAAGAGGTTTTGGCTATTTGGGAGTCCAGTCCAAAAAAAAACAGAAGTTGTTTCTCATACTTGAGAAACTGCTCTAGAAAGCAATTGAGAAATCTATACTGAAGCTTATACGATGTTCACATTCTTTAACCCAATAACTTGATATCTTCAAAATAATTATTAGAAATGAGGAGAGATTTGAAGCATGAAGTACAAGAATTGTGCATTGCACTATTCACAATAATAAAAACCAAAAGGTTTATGTATAAATTCTGACACACTCATTCATCTTATCGTGAAGCCTGTTACAAAGAATATTTACTATCATGGGAAAGTGGGTAGAACTAATACACAATATATGTGTGTTTGTGTGACAAGACGAGAATGTACTGGGGCCGCAGACAGTGTGGTGGTTAAGGGCACTGGACTCACACATGGCTGACCGTGGTTCAAGTCTTGGACCTGACAGCTTGCTTTCTTACTTTCCCTCCCACTTTCTCTCTCTCACTCTGTACCTCTCTGGTCAAATTAAAATAAATAAATAAATAGTTAAATAAAATAATTCTTTAAAAAAAAAATAGAGGAGAATGTATCAAAATACTAACATTAGTTACTGAAGTATGTAGACATGTTTCCTTTTAGTTACTTCTTTCTTTCTTTTATAAAAAAAAAATTAATTTAATTTAATTTAATTTTTAATTTGACCTTAGAGAGCCAGAGAGCATGAAAGTGAGAAAGCAAGATATCAGGCCTGGGACCCGAAACACAGTCAGCTATGTGGGAGTCTAGCACCTTAACCATTATGTTACCTGCCAACCCCAGTTGTGATATTTCTTAAAATAAATTTGCTAGGGGCCAGCGGATGGCGTAGTGGTTATGTCACTGGACTCCCACAGAGGTTAATGGTAGTTCGAGCCCCAGACCTGGTGGCTTGAAACTCACACTGGGTGTATGTGAGTGCATTCCCAAGATCCTAGAAAAAGAATGAAGGAAAAGGAACTGTGGCATGGCCTTCCCCACAGGGGGTGATTTTCTCACTTTCCCTCTCACTGTGTCTGTCTCTCCCTCTCAAGTGAGCACATGGACTCTAAGGCAAAAACCTCAAACAAACACATAAACAAATAAATAAATTTCCTAGAACATTAGTTCCCTCTAATTAAGCAATTTTAAGTTATTTCTTAACAGTAACTAGATATTGGGAACCAGCATTTAGCATAATGGCTATGTCACTGGACTCCCACGTAGTCGACCGTGGTTCGTGTCCCGGACCCGGTGGCTTAAAACTCACGCCGGGTGCATGTGCGTGCGTGCCCAAGATCCCGAGAGGAGAATGGAGGAGAAGGGATTGCGACGTGACCATCCCCCCTGGGGGGTGATTTCTCGCTTTCTGTCTCTATGTCTCTCTCTGTCTGTCTGGCGAGCGCACGCGCCCTATAGTGAAAATCTCTCCAAAAAAAAAAAAAAACCAGTAACTAGATATTTAAGAGATACATTTTTTTTTTTACATTAAAAAAAGTGGTGGGGAGTAAGAAATCATCTGCTAGGAGGATGACCACACCACAATCCCTTCTCCTCCATTCTCCTCTCAGGATTTTGGGTATGCATGCACATGTACCCAGTGTTTTTCAAGCCTCTGGGTCTAGGACTCAAACCACACAGACAGCTATTTGGGATCCAGCCACCTCAACCTCCATGCTACCTGCTGGCCCACTAAATAGATATTTAATGATACAGAATTACTGTTTTTTTTTTTTTGGAGAGGTTTTTGCTATAGGGCACGTGCGCTCGCCAGAAAGGCAGAGAGAGACAGAGAGATAGAAAGCGAGAAATCACCTCCCAGGGGGGATGGCCACCCTGCAATTCCTTCTCCTCCATTCTCCTCTCGGGATCTTGGGCACGGACGCACAGGCGCCCGGTGTGAGTTTAAGCCACCGGGTCTGGGACTCAAACCGTGGTGGACTACATGGGAGTCCAGTGACACAGTCATTATGCTAATTGCTGGTCCTCAGAATTACTGTTAATAATTATTATGTGATTATTATTGACAATAAATAGCATTTAGCTATGTTTTCTGAAAAACATATTTTAGAGATACATACTGAAATAGTTATGAACTAAATTATATGATTTGTTAGAAAATCTTCTAAGCTAGGGGGTAGCTGAATAAAAAGAATGGGAGATGGGAGCATAAAAAAATGAGACTGGCCGTGTGCTGGTATTTGTCAAATATGAGTAACAGGTAAATAGTGGTTCATTATGCTAATTTCTCTACATTTGTGTAAATTTATCAGAATTAAAAAAAAAAAAAAGCTCATTTTAAAATTTCAAAGGAAGGGGCTGACAGGTGCTGTACTGCATAAGGCACTGGACTCCTACATGGCTGACTGCAGTGAGACCCAGACTTGGCAGCTTGTTCTCTCACTTTTCCCCTTTCTGTCTGTCTGTCTCTGGTAAAATGAAATAATAACAAATAAAATTAAATAAAAAATTCTTTATAAATAAATGAATGCTTGGGACCAGCAGATGGCGTAATAGTTACATCACTGGACTCCCATGTAGGTCAACCGCGGTTTAGGTCTCGAACTCAGTGGCTTACGACTGACAGTGGGCTCGGGAGCTGGCAGGGGGCGTGGTGGTTGAGGAGTTGGACTCCCCATGGCCGACCACAGTTCAAGTCCTGGACTTGGAGACTTGCTTTCTCACTCTCCCTGTCTGTCTGTCTCTCTCTGGTCAAAACTAAAGAATAATAGTAATTAATAAATAAAAAGAACAAGAAAAAGAAAGACTCATACCAGGGGCATATGTATGTGTGCCCAAGATCCTGAAGGGAGAATGAGGAGAAGTGACTGTGGCATGGCTATGCCCCCGGGGGGTGATTTCTCCCTTTCTGTCTGTCTCTCTGGCAAGTACACACATCCTATAGCAAAAATCTCTCTAAATACATAAATAAATGCTTTAGCAGCAAAAGAATATTTAAAAAATTGAAAAGAAAGTACAAGGAACTAGTAAGCTCTATTTTAAATTTTAAATATAATTAAACTCATTATCTATCACTGAATAAAGACTAGAAATATCTCACATTAAGAGGATGGCAGCTGATCAGAACTTTCCTTCATATAGTTCTGAATTGTGACTTTAAAAAAACAAACAAAAAACAAAAAAAGGTAAATATTATCTTCATTATATCATCAAATGTAAAATGCTCCCAAATGCTAGATGCTGCTAAAATTTTGCCAATTATGATGATAAGATGCTTCTCAATTTTGGAGACGTGAATTGTGAGAATGCCCTGGAAGCTGGGAAGTCTGCAGGACTCCCCTAAAGCAGCAAAAAGCAGGAGAATGGACTCCACCTTTACTTGGGATCACATTCCCCCACCTCAAATGCAGTTTTTCCCGCTGGACTGATAGAATAAGTTTGCAGAGTCAGTCAGGTAACCAAGAAGCACATTCAAAAGGATCAACCAGCATTGTTCCTGCCTTGCCCTAAATTCCATTTTTCTTCTGATAAACAAAATTTTCAAAGTTTCTCTTACCCTATTTCATGTAAATTTACCTAGCACTGGGGCAAAGTTTTTCTCTAACTACATTTCATTTCATACTTTATGTGCTGTAAAGTAAAACAAAACAAAACAAAACAAAAAACATTCAAATGTCTACATGGGTTAGGCAGTGACCGTTTACAAAAAGACAAAATAGCCAAAGCTAATATTAAATATGCAATTTTAATTTGTACCAACTACTTTACTTTTCAAAGTAGGCTTCTCTTCTCTTCCGCAACTCTTCTGAAGTAAGATTTGTGCTTGACATCTGTGGACTATCTTGAGATATATTTCTGGAACTACCTAAAAATAAAACAGAACAAAAAAATTATCATTCTACTTACCAATTCAAGCAAGAATACATTTATCCTTACTAAGCAGGCTCTTACAAAGCTTTCTTCTTCAAAATATTTTGCTACTCTTCTGTAAATATCAGAAAGACTCTGAAAGTCTCTGGGAAAATCTGATTAAGCAGCCCAAATCGAATATATTAAGTTCACTGAAACCAAAGCTGTTATCTACCTGTGATAGGACAGCCAACGTGGCGTGAGAAGTCATTAACACCAGGCCTGTTTTCTCTCTTTACTTTGTTAGAAATGAATCTATATCCTTAAAGTAACTGCATACCTTAAAGCAACTTAAAATGGTCATAAAACAAACCCTTTCTTTGTATTCCTCTATCCTCAAATATAGTATCTTATAACAAACTAAATGTTTCTATGTTCTTGCTTGACAATCCTAGCAACCAGGACTGTACATAATGTGAAATGAAGTAGAAAGAAGAATGAATATAGGGCCACCTGCATCGGCACAGTCGGAATGCAGTGCTTTACAGTGCTGAAGCCACCTGAAGCTCCCAGGTTTGCACCCCAACTCTCCCTATAAACACCAGGTACACACATGTGCCTATGATCTGGCTGGCTGGGACTATGGATGGAGAGCAGGATGAAGACCATACGAGAGGTTTGTCTTTCTCTCTCTTCCTCCCTGTCTCTCTCATGGAAGAAATAAATACACTTAGGGGCTGGTGGGTGGCACAGTGGTTAAGGTGCTGGACTCCCACATGGCTGACCACAGTTTGAGTCCCAAACCTGGTGGCTTGCTTTCTCATTTTCCCTCTCTCTCTCTTTCTCTGGTCAAATTAAGTAAATAATAATGATGAATAAAATAAAATAATTCTTAAAAAGAAATTTTAAAAATGAAACACACTTAAGAAAATAAAATTAAATAAACTTATCTAAAATTGTGATAGTTGGTTTCTTTCCATTACTGGGCTAATGCAGGAGTGCTCTACTAATAAAAAGATTTTTTTTTTTTTTTCCAATGGGACTGTGGTCCCTTCCTGAGTCTTGGCAACAGCAAAAAGAAAAGGACTGCATACCATCTGGAGTACTCAGTGTGCCTGGAGGCATAAGTTCAGGATAAAAATAATCTTTGTATTAATGGAATCTCAGTTTTAGTTAGACATTTAAGGAATTCAATTGATGAGTAATTTTACTAGGAAGCAGAAGCAAATTTATATGAATTAGATAAAAATAAAATTACAAAGAAAACCACTTTGCATTTTTAAAAATTATTTTATTTGTATTAATTAATTAATTATTTTAAATTTATTCTTTTGGGGAGAGGTTTTTTGCTATATGATGCGTATGCTTGCCAGAAAGACAGAGAGAGACAGAGAGACAGAAAATGAGAAATCACCCCCCAGGAGGATGGGCACACTGCAATCCCATCTTCTCCATTCTCCTCTCGGGATCTTGGGCATGCACACACACTTGCCCGGTGTGATTTTAAGCGGCCAGGTCCGGGACTTGAACCACAGTTGACTACATGGAAGTCCAGTGACACAGTCATTACGCCAATTGCTGGTCCCTATTTTTAAAATTTGACCAGAGAGAGAGAAAAAAATGGGAAAACAAGTCACCAGGTCCAGGATTCGAACTGTGGTCAGCCACGTGGGAGTGTCCAAAGCCTTAACCACCACACAACCTGCTAGTTCCCACACTTCACATTTTTAAATCTCAACATTTTTCTCTGCCTGGATTCCTAGGGCATAATACTTTACAATTCTCTGTTGATGGGATTGTTATTAAAATCATGGGCCCACCAAAGAGGGCTTAAGCTTTAAGTTGCATATCCGACAAGTGTTGAATTTATTATATTCTCAGTCCAGGCCCTTCTGTCAAGTCCATTTATAAAATACCTGACTTGGATAAGGGTCCACTGACCTCTACAAAGATTACGTTCAACTTACTGTTGCATTAGTATAGTATTTCAACCAAATAAAATAACCAGAGGCAAAAAATATAGTCTTAATATAGATGGTAAAAAGTGACTTACATTATAAGAAAATAAAAAAAAAAAAAGAGAGAGAGAGGTGACTGAACTTGGCTATTGCTTCAAGAGTAATTGTCAAAGAACTTCTACTGGGCCACCCCTACGGCCCAGCGATTGGGAGAGAAGAATCCCATGGCCAACAGTTGTTTGAATGCAGCCCCAGTGCCTTGAAGAATATACCAGGTGTGTACATGTATACCCCAAATCCTGACGGGATGGAGAAATGAAATGAAGATTGCGGTGTGACCATACCCCATTAGGGGGTGCTCTTCCCCCTGTCTCTGGAGAGTGCATGTACCCTCTGGCAACTAAACACAAATCTACTGGGGCCAACAGGTGGCGTGATAGTTAGGGCACTGGATTCTCACACGGCCAACCATAGTCTGAATCCCAGAATTGGCGGCTTGAAAATCATGCCAGGTGTTTATGCGTTTGTGCTCAAACCCCAAGAGGTGAATGGAGGAGAAAGGATTGCGGAGTGTTCATTCTCCCTGGAGGCAATTTCTCACTTTCTCACTGTCTCTAGCGAACACAGGCACCCCAAGGCAAAAATCTAAAAATCAAAGAAACAAAAAAAACTACTAACAGCATATTAACTTCCAGAAAAAGCAAGAATAATCCAAAGTGACTTTTCACCAATAAATAAAGTATGTATCACAATGTCCATACCTTGCATACTGAGCTGAATAGCCCTGCGGAGATCTGCTTCTTCATCCTCCATGTCAATTTCTTGGCGACTTAGTGCCAGGGCCCTCTGCAAATCCTCCTCATCTTCGTCTAACATTCCTGACCCATCATTTGCTTCTAAGACTCGTTCTAGGTCTGTTTTATGGACTCTAAAGACAAAAGCACTGATAATAATTGCTGACCAGTCTTCTATTTTAGACATAATATAAAGACATTTCTAAACTAAGGTTTGTATGTAAGTCAAAATTTTAAAAAATTTCTGGTATATAAGACTAATAATACAGAGATTATGTTATAGTGTGACTCTAAGTTATTATATATAAGTAATTTGAAGAGCTGATTTAAGTTTAAAACCAATGCATGTCACTAAAATATACGATTTAAAAAAGAGTCACCACACTGAAAACGGAACTCTCCTATACTGTTGATGGGAATGTAAATTAATGCAGCCACTATGGAGAAAAATATGGAGAGTCCTCAAAAACCTACAAATAGAACTACCATACAATCCATCAATTCCACTTCTGGGTTATCGACCCCCAAATTTCCACACAGCTGGAAAAACACTTGCACATCCATGTTTACTGCAACATTATTCACAATTGCTAAGACATGAAATCAATCCAAGTGTTTAAGAACACAACAAAGAACTGAAAACGTGTGGTACGTATATATACTATGGAATACTACTCAGCCACAAAAACAAGACCCTGGCATTTGATAGAAAGTGGACAAATATGGAAGATAAGATGCTAAGTAAAGCAAGCCAGACTAAGACTACTATATGTTCCCACTTCACATATACTGAATGTCTGCATTGTATGGCAGAAACTGAGATTGCAAGTTGGCACTAGAATATCTCTCAAGAAGCAAAATATTTGTTTGTGAGCTGTTTGGAGGTAAAATTTGAGGACAGAAATACAAGAAACACAAGGGAAGATAAAATAATTTTTTGATCACTGTTCCTGGAGAGATGGAGAAGAAATGGGTGAGAAGGAGATAGACAAGGGAAATGGCTATATATACAATTAAAGAAAATATGAAGAATGTGGGGAAACAAAACAGTCACCACAATAAAAGGACCATACATTCGACGTACGCAAGCAGATTTAATGACTATGATGAACACCTTTGCATACTGCAGGCGTAATGCTTACCTCTGATCTTTTAGTTGTGCTAATTCTTCTCCAATAAGTTTTGGTCGATGCATCTGTTGGACCCTGATCATCTGTAAGAGTTGGTCAGCTTCACAATCCGGCAGATCACCCTTAACGACAAATATAGAATAACCTAAAAAAAAGTCAAAAATAAACTAAAGCAGCTAGTAAGAGATTCAAAATCCACGCAAAATGATAGCAAAGAAGCAGCACAAAATAATGGAAAAAAAACATAAGCTACAGGTTCAGAGAAACCCCATGTTCAAATAATGATTCTTACACTTACTAGCAGGATGATCTAGGACAAGTTATTTAAAGTCTCTGAGTCTCATTTTGCCATTGGTAAGACTGGAATAGCCACCTCAGGATGGTAGGAGAGGTAAGTGAAATTATGTCTACAAAGGGCCCTATTTTCACAGTGCTTGAATCAAGCAGGCTACCCAACAAATATATCAGAGAGGCACTTGAATGTGTGGGTGAAAGCAAGAGATTTGGAATCGGACTGCTGGGGTTTAATTAGTCTCAGGTCGGGACCAGCAGATGGCATAATGGCTACATCGCTGAACTCCCATGTAGTCAACTGCAGTTTGAATCCTGGACTTGGTGGCTTACATTCACACTGGGTGCATGTGTATGTGTGTGCGCAAGATTCTGAGAGGAGAAGGGACTGCGGTGTGGCCATCCCCTCTGGGGGGGTGATTTCTCTTTCTGTTTCCCTGTCTTTCTGGAGAGTGTACGCACCCTATAGCAAAGACCTCTTCAAAAAAAATATTAATCTCAGGTCTTCCACTTTCTTTGTTTGTGTAAATCACCTCCTCCACCTGCCTTGGTTTTTCTGACTATTACACACATGACACCGGTACCTATGAGGAAGCTCATGGGGCAGCTGTAGGGACACAATGGGACAGTGTGTGCAGTAACGGACAGCAAGGAGCAATGAGTCACCCGTGGAAATAGCTACCCCCAACTCTGAGGCACACACATACACGCTCTCTGACTGAAGACAGAAACCAGGAAGCCAATACCCCAAATCTAGTCAAGGTGTTGAACAAGTAGTTCATGATTTAGAAGAATTATACTGGTCGAGAATAGTTTTCATAAACATGATCCCAGAAAGCCAGGGATCCTAGCTAGATACTCCACAAAAAATGAGCAAGGCTGTACCTAGGTGAGTCTAATCCATTTAAGTTTTTCTGACACAGATTGTTTTAAACTTTGAAAGTGTTTCTAATTATCACCTGTATTAATTAATAATGAAGCAAAGATCAAAATGACTATTAATAGAAAAACTCAAAAACTTTTTTTTTTTTACAAGGACAGGTATACTCAGAGGTCAGATATTTAACATGTTTCTGCCAATAAAATTATTACTAGGTTGGACCAGCCAGGTGGCATGCTGGTAAGGTAGCTGATCCCCACACGGCCGACTAGGTGGTTTGAGTCTCCATCCTAGTGGCTTGGAAAATACACAGGGTGTGTGCACGTGCATGCCCAAAATTCTGAGAGGAAAAAAGATTGTGACGTAATCATCCCCACCTTGGGGTGGGGAGGTAATTTCTCACATCCCCTTTCTTTGGTGAGTATACATGCATCCTATAAAAATAACTAAAAAACAAAAACAAAAACAACAAAAAAACATTACTATAGGTCCTAGGATTAACATGTCAACTTGCCACAGAATGCCATGAAGAGCATTACAAAGAGTAGGTACTCTACCGTGTTCTGGAAGCATAATACATCTTAGGGTTTTTATTTTGTTCGAGAGATTTCTGCTATAAGACATGTGTGCTTGCCAGAAAGATAGAGAAACTGAGAGAGAGGAAGTGAGAAATCACCCCCTGGGGGTGATGGCTATACCACAGTTCCTTCTCTTCCAGTCTCCTCTTGGAATTCTGGGCATGCGTGCATGCGCACCTGGCACGAGATTTACGCCACTGATTCTAAGGACTCAAAGCACAATCAGTCACATGGGAGTCTAGTGCCTTAATCACTATGCCATCTGCTGGCCCCCATCCTGGGTTTTATTCAAAATCAGATATTATTCTAAGTGTGCTGGGGAGTCACTGAAGGAGGAAGAGTGAGAGTGTGACAAAACATGCATTACTTTTTTTGTGTGTGTGAGATTTTTGCTACAGGGTATGTACGCTCGCTGGATAGATAGAGAAATAGACAGAAAATGAGGAATCACCCCCACCAGGAGGGATGGCCATGGCACAATCCCTTCTCCATTCTCTTCTCAGGATTTTAGGCACACATGCACAGTACCTGGCATGAGTTTAATCCACCAGGTCTGGGACTCGAACCACTGTCAACTACATGGGATCCAGTGATATAACCATGAGGCCATCTGTTGGTCCCAACATGAATTAAATTTTAAAAGAGCTCTCAGGGCTGATTTAATGTAAGAGTGATTCTTACAGGAAAACCAGCAGGATATTATGTATGAGGAGGAAAATAAATTTGCAGACTTGTTCAGTTTGAAATGCTTTTATGACTTCCAAGTGGAGATGTCAAAGTTAGGAGTTGGTATTCAGGACAGATGTCTAGGCCTAAGGTACAAGTTTAGAAGTTATAAGCATATAGACTTTACTTACAGGAGATATTTAAGATAATGAGATGACAATCAATCAAGAAATTGTCCAAGAACTGAACCTTGAGACATTCCAATAGTTAGAGACTGGAATGAATAAGAAAATTCGCAAAAGGAATCTAAAAGAAGTAGCCAATGAGACAGTGTGGTGATCTGGAATCCAAGTGCATACTGAAGTGGATATAGTTCAAGAAGACAGTTAGGAACTAAGATGTTCGTTTATAAAAGAAAAGAGGCCCAAGTATGTAAAATCAAATATGTAAAACTGGGGACCAGCTGATGGGGTAATGGCTATTTTGCTAGACTCGCATGTAGTCAACTGTGGTTAGAGTCCTGGAACCGGTGACTTAAACTCATGCCAGGTGTGTATGCATGTGTGCCCAAGATCCCAAGAGGAGAATGGAGAAGAGATTGCAGTGTGGCCATCCCCCCTGGTGGGTGATTTCTCGCTTTCTGTCTCTCTCTCTGTCTCTCTGTCTTTCTGGCGAGTGCATGCATCCTTTAGCAAAAACCTCTCCAAAACAAAACAAAACAAAACAAAACAAAACCAAAAAACAAACCAAAAAAGATGTAAAACTGTAACCCTAAATGTGAACTAGAAATAACTATATGATGACCAACCTAGTAGCAATATGCACACCAATGCTCAGATTGTGATCTCTAAATACCATTACTGAAAGGAAGGAACCACACATCCCTGGAGAAATGAGATTTAAAGTCTAGGTCATAAAACACACAAGACAAACCTGCAACTTGTTAAATGAGAAAGCAAGATGTCAAAAAACTACAATGGTCATGTCAGATTTGGAGGAGTACCAATATGAATAATAACTACAAAGGTCTAAAACCCATGAACTGTTTTGACTGATATGTTTATAATGATGCTTCAGATAAAAAGAAAAAAAGAAAACACAGGTGCTAGCACACAGCATGGTAGTTAAGGCTCTGGACTCCCACATGGCCAACCACAGTCTGAGTTCTGTACAGGACTTGCACATCACACTTGGTGCACGAGCATACATGCCCAAAACCCTGAGAAGAGAATGGAGAAGGGATTGTGTGTGTCTCTCCCTCTTAGGGGGTGATTTCTCACTTTCCCTTCTCTCTCTCTGGCGAGAGCATCCACCCTATGGAAAAAATTAAAAAAGAAAAAAAAACACAAAAAACAAAGAAAGGAACTAGTCATCTTATTTATTATTCAGTTTGGCCAGAGAGAGAGAGAGAGAGAGAGAAACCAAGTGCCAGGTCCGGGACACAAATACTGGGACTTGAACTGCGCTTGGCCATGTGGGAGTCCAGCACTTTAACCACTACACAACCTGCTAGCCCGAAGAGTCCTTCCTTATAATGATTTATTTTTTAAAAAAGAATTATTTATTTATTATTATTGTTTTTCAATTTGGTATAGGGCACATGCACTCACTAGAGAGACAGAGAGAGAGACAAGGGGTGGTGGGGGGAGAGGGAGATAAGAAAGCAAGCCACCAGGTCCAGGACTTAAATCACAGTGAGAGTCCACCACACCACCTGATGGCCCCTTTAATGATTTCATTTTTATAGAGGGGGCTTGCAGGTGGCCTGTTGGTTAAAGGCACTGAACTCCTACATGGCTAACCAAAGTCTGAGTCCCAGACCTGGTAGCTGGCTTGTTTTTGCACTCTACCCCATCTTTCTCAGGTAATCACACATGCCCTATAACAAATTTTAAAAAAATAGTAAATTATTCATTAAAATATACTTAAGAGAAAATGGTACAATGTCTAGTATTGCGTCCAAGTATGCAGGACAAAGTGGGAAGGTTGTAGATAACACAAGACAGGCCCTGAGGTAATTGTTGAGGCTGGTAAAGGGTATGTGGGATCGACCATATTACTGTCTCTACTTCTATATTGTTTTGGAATGTTCAAGGTTTGCTTTGTTCTGTTTAAAAGAGGAAATAAGGGCAAGCAGATGTGTGGTGGTTAAGGTGTTAGACTCCCACAAGGCTGACCATACTACTTGCTTTCTCTCTCTCTCTCTCTGGTCAAACAGAATAATAAATAAAATAAAACAAGTAATTATTATTTTTTTTAAGAATAATTTTACTTTATTTATTTATTTATTTATTTATTTATTTATAATTTGACTAGAGAGGGACAGAGTGAGTGAATGAGTGAGTGAGAGAGAGAGAGAAAGTGAGAAAGCAAGCCACCAGATCCAGGACTTCAACCGCAGTTCCCATGTGGGAGTCCAGAGCCCCCAACCACCACTCCACTTGCCAGCTCCAAACAAGTAATTCTAAAAAATATTAAAAGTGAAAACAATCAACTATACCTTCATATAAGGTAAGGTAAAACAAAAGGAAGACTGAAAATTGAATAATGGCACTGGTACCACGGAGGCCACTGGGGCACTGGGAAGAGGGTTTTTAGGCTGGGTCTGACAGCATGATTGAAATGAATTCAATAAAAGGAAAAAAACACACTATAGATGATCCTAAGGAAGAAGTGGCTTTTCTTTCCTTTTTTTTTTTTTTTTAAAGGTTTTTGCCATACACATCTGCTTGCCTAAAAGAGACAGAGAGAAATGGCTCTCCAGGGGAGACGGACACGCTCCAATTCCTTCTCCGTTCTCCTCTTGGGATTTTGGGCACACAGAAATGCATGCTTGGCATGAATTTCAAGCCACCAGGTCCAAGACTTGAACTGTAGTTGGCCATGTGGGAGTTCCATGCCTTAACCACCACACTACCTACTGACCCCTAAACCCAAAAGGCTTTTCCTATTTTTTTATTCCTTTCTTTTTTTTTTTTTTTTTTCTGAGAGTCTTCAAAATAATTATTTATTTATTTATTTATTTTAATTTGACCAGAGAGGGGCAGAGAGAGAGAAAGAGAGAGAGAGAGAGAGAGAGAGAGAGAAAGTGAGAAAGCAAGCCACCAGGTCCGGGACTCGAATCACGGCTGATCGTGTGGAAGCCCAGCACCCTTAGCCACCATGCCACCTACAGGCCCCAAGAGAGAGATTTTTGCTATAGGGTATGTGCACTTGCCGGAGACAAGAGACAGAGACACCAAGTAAGAAATCACCTTCCCAGAAGGAATGGCCATACCACAATCCCTTCTCCTCCATTCTCCTCTTGGGTTTTTGGCAAGCATGCACATGAGCCTGGCGTGAGTTTCAAGGTGCCAGGTATCGAGGAGTCATACTGTGGTCCACTACATGGGAGTTTGCGATGTAACCATTATGCCATCTGCTGGTCTCAGTTTTTTCTATTTTTTTCTTCAATGTAGATAAAGAGCTTATTGCTTTGCTAACAGGAATACAAAAAAAGAAGGGGAGAACAGATCTTTTTTTTTTTTTTAGTTATTTATTTTATTCATTCATTCATTTTATTTTTTTAATTTGACCAGAGAGGTACACAGAGAGAGAGAGAAAGAGGGAAAGTGAGAAAGCAAGCCACCAGGTCCAGGACTTGAACCGTGGTCAGCCATGTGGGAGTGTCCAGCGCCTTAACCACCACGCCACCTGCTGGTCCCCAGGGAGAACAGATCTTACAGGAAAGTGGAGAGACAAAAGTAGCAGCAGCTTAAGTAGGTAAGAAGAGCTGGGATCCAGGCCACAGTAGAGATGTGGGTCTTGGTTAGAGGCAGGGAACAACTAATCTATTTTAATAGGTTCAAAGCACAGGTGGGAAGAGAAGCAAGTTGACCAATTTGCTGGTAGAAAGATTAGATTTTCTTCTAACCGCTTCTATGTTCTCAGCAGAATATAAAGAAGGTCATGAGCAAAATGTGTGAGAGAGGAAGTGTTAGAGGTTTGAAGAGGTAAGTTGTGACATAATCACCTTGGACTGTAGTATATGAATTTTCTAAGAAAATGCAGTAAGAATATCAGGCAGCACCAGAGGACTCGTTTGAAATTTGTGACAATAAATTTAAACTAATCATTTTGCTTTATTTATTTATTTATTTGCCACGTTCAGCTGTCCTGATATGGGAACGAATAAGGTCAAGATTTATTTTTGGGGTCAGCAGGTGAAGCAGAGGTTAAGGTGCTAGACTTCCACACGGCTAAGTGCAGTTTGAGTTCTGGACCAAAGAGCTTGAAACTCACACCAAGCTCATGTGTGTGTGACCAAAATCCCGATAGGAGAATGGAGGAAAAGGGACTGTGGCACAGTCAACACCTGGGGGGTGATTTCTCACTTTGTCTTTCTGGCAAGCACATGGGCCATATAGAAAAATACAACAAACAAAAAAATTTGGTTTTAACTGGGGTTAAGATTTTTTTGTCATTAAAGTACAATGGATGCTTAGCATACACTGAACATCTACGCTCAATGGAAACACTGGAAAGATTCGAAGACATAGAAGTAGAAAAACTGCAAACAGGAGAGACTGCACTGAGAATTGGGGGAGGGCTCAGGAAATCTGTCTAACAGACACAAGAAAGCATGTAAACAAGGCAAAGAGGTTATGTATTGGGTCACTGGAAAAGTCAAGATGTATTTTTGTACAAAAAAAACATAGGAAAATACCATGACTTTTCCAACAACCCAATAATGGTACACCATGGGAGCAGCGGGTGGCATGGTGGGAAAGGCGCTGGACTTCCATATGGTCAGCTATGGTTTGAGTCTCAGCCTGGCGGCTTATTTCCTCACTTGCCCCCTCTCTCTCTGGAAAGCACATGTGCCCTATAGCGGGTTGAAAAAATAACAGTAATAATAAATAAAATAAAATAAAAATAATGGTACACCACAACAGAGTGTAATAAAAAAGTGTGTATGTGTGTACGTGTGTATATACATAAATTTATTTATGTATACATACACATATATACACATGCATATATACACACATACACACACATACATATGTGTGTGTGTGTGTGTGTGTGTATATATATATATATATATATATAAAATGGTAGCAAGGGTCACCAGGTGATGTGGTGGTTAAGGTGCTGGACTCGCATATGGCTGACTACGGTCTGAACCCTACACTCGGCGCTTAAAAATCCTATCAGGCACATCTGTGTGCATGGCCAAAATACCAGGAGAATGGAGAAGGGATTGCAGAGTGGCCATCACCCTGGGAGGTGATTTCTCACTTTCCCTCTCTGTCTCTCTCCAGCAAGCACATATGCCCTGTAGTAAAAGTAAGAAAATAAAAAAAGAAGGGAAATGAGGGAGCCAGCAGGTGGCACCGAGGTTAAGGCACTAGATCCTACATGGCCGGCTGTGCAGTTCCAGTCCTAGACCCACAGGCTTAGAAATCATGCAGGGCGCATGTGTGTAAGTGCCCAAAATCTTGAGAGGAGAATGGAGGAGGGACTATGGCATTGCCATCCTCTCTAGGGGGCATGATTTCTCAGTTTTCCTTCCTCCTTCCTTCCTTCCACCCCTTCTTCCATCCCTTTCTCTCTCTCTGGCAAATGCTCGTGCCTTACAGGAAACTTAAAAACAGGGGGGGATAGAGGCAAGGAGTAACAGAAAGAATACTTACCACTCCCCCCTTCCTAATAGTGGTAAGGAACAAAAAGCTACCATTTACAGAGCTACAAATAAAGCAGCAGCCTCAGGGGAGGGCCAGTGTCAATGAGAATGCTAACTGAACATTACCACCCAAAGCCCAGCCTAGAGTTTACCAGGTAAGACAAAAGATTATTTCATTGTCGCTGCTAGAAAAACAGCATTGTTATACCACAAACCTAAAAGGCCAGTTTTAATTAGCTACTCTGAAAGATAACATTACAAAATTGTCAGTCTTTATTTACCTTCCTGTTGTAACTGAGCCAAGAAAAGTGCAAGGTATGTATCTGATATTAATTCTGGACCCGTCAAGAGAGAATTCAAGTTAAACCACTGGAAAAAAAAAGTCAACAATATTTGAGTTAGTGTCCATTACAGGTAATAATAAAAGTTTAACATGTTAAGAATAAAGCCCATCTAAACTTAGTAAAATTGTCTAAATGTTAGAAATATGTCAAATTGAGTTTTTTCCCCAAGTAGTTGAATAAAGTGATTTTTTTAAAAAATGGAAATAGAACAACACAGATTTTTCACTATTAAATGCTGCTTTATTTTTTGGTGGGGTATATGTGTTTACCAGAGACTGAGAGGAAAAAGAGACAAAGTGTACCTCAGAGGGATGGCCACACTGTAATCCCCTCTCCGTTTTTCTCCCCGGATTTTAGGCACACACACACCCATGGGCCCAGTGTGTTTTTCAAGCTATTGGTCCCTGGACTTGAACCATATCCACATAGGATCCAGCACTTTAACCACCAAGCATCCTGCTAGCCCTCAATAAAGGTAATTTAAAGTATTATAAATTTCTATTTTCTTTTTCAGAAGATTTAAAGTTTACAGATTAATGCAAACTTTTGTGTTTTTTTTTTTCATTTTTTTTTTTGGAGAGGTTTTGGCTATAGGGCGTGTGCACTCATCAGAAAGACAGAGACAGACAGAGAGACAGAAAGCGAGAAATCACCCCCTGGGGGGATGGCCACACCGCAATCCCTTCTCCTCCATTTTCCTCTCAGGATCTTGGGCACGCACACACACGTACCCGGCGTGAGTTTAAACCACTGGATCTGGGATTCGAACCATGGTCAACAACATGGGAGTCCAGTGACATAGCCATTACACTAACTGCTGGTCCCCAAACTTTTGTTTTTTAAAAAAGCATACAGCATACAGTAGGGTCAGCTGATAGTGTAGCAGTTAATGTGCTGGATCCCACATGGACAACTCCATGGTTTGAGTTCTGTACCTGGTTGCTTGAAAAACATGCCAGGCATGTGTGTGTACATGCCCCAAATCCCAAGAGAATGGAGAAAGGATTGAAGCAAGGCCATACACCCTAAGGGGTGATTTTGCACTTTCTCTGTCTCAAGTGGATGTATGCACCCTAAGAATTCGATCTTTTTGCAAAGTATCAGTTGAATCTAATTCTAATCACACCCATCATATCAATGTGGAAGAAAAAGGACAACTACATAAAGTTTTCCTACTACTGATAATTTTGGTCAAAAGACTCTGACTGTGATAAATCTAGACATTCAGGAAAAGAATTATAATCACCAATTCATTTTAAAAAATCACTAAGCCACTATTACATGTAATTAACATCATTTAGTCACTTACAATCTCAGGTGTCCTAATTAAACCTATGATATCCAAAAAGTTTCTAATCACAACCAACCATTTTTCCTCAATTTTGACATTGTTGACAATACTTTTTCTAGTTATCGCTTTCATGTTACAGGGACTTCAGACTGAAACAATGTATAGTGAAAAATATAATTTAAAACAAAAATATAACCTAAAACCAAAGATAATAAACCAAAATTTGTCATCTTCTGTATTTGTCAATTATAAAAACCTCTCAAAATACATTTACCTACAAATCAACACACAGGAACTTCTGAAATCATAAAGACTTCAGACCTTAAAAATCCAGTGCTGGGACCAGCAGACAGCATAATGGTTATATCACTGGACTCCCATGTAGCTGACCACATTTGAGTCCTGGACCTGGAGGCCTGAAACTCATGCTACGCACATGTGCGTATGTGCCCAAAATCCCAAGAGGAGACCAGAGGAGAAGTGGATGCAGCATGGCCATCCCCTCTGGGTGGTGATTTCTTGCTTTCTGTCTGTTTCCCCAGCAAATGCACATACCCTATACCAAAAATCTCTTAAAAGAAAAACAAAAAATCCTTGGGACCAGCAGATGGCATAAAGGTTAGTTGCTGGATTCCCATGTAGTCAATCGCAGTTTGAGTCCTGGACTCAGTGGTTTAAAACTCACACTGGGCACGTGTGCATGCATACCCAAAATCCCAAGAGGAGAATGGAAAAGAAGGGACTGTGGCATGTCCATCCCCTGTGCAGGGTGATTTTTCACTGTCTGTCTGTCTCTCTGGCAAGGGGAAGTGCCTATAGCAAAAATGTCTCTTAAAAAAAAAAATGCCAAAAAATTAAAAATCCAGTACTGGGGGACCAATAGATGGCGTAATGGTTACATTGCTGGACTCCCACATAGTTGACCACAGTTCACAGTTCACAGTTCACTCTGGGCGCATGTGCATGTGTACCCAAACCCCTAGAGAAGAATGCAGAAGAGGAGATTGTGGCGTGGCCATCTCCCCTTGGGGGTGATTTTTTGCTTTCTCTCTCTCTCTGTCTCTCCAGCGAGTGCATGTGACCCATAGAAAAAAAATCTCTCTTAAAAAAAAAAATCCAGTGCTGGGTCAGACAGTGGCTCGCAAGACCCACAGAAGGCCCCAGGATCAGTCCTGAGCCTCCCTCTACAAACTGTGCTGGCACACACGTGCATGCCTATGCGCCCGGGCTGACTGACACTGGTGGCACCAGAAGTGGGGCGGGGGGATGATGGCTACAGTGTAAAGACCTTGCTGAGGTGCCTCTTTGTCTTTCTCTCATGGAAAAAATAAATAAGTTTTAAAATTGAAAACAAAAACCTATGTGTTTTACCTTTTTCCTTAAAAATTTTTATTTAATATTATTTATTATTATCATTATTCAATTTGACCAGAGAAAGACAAAAAGAGAGAGAGAAAGCAAGGTGCCAGGTCAGGGACTCAAACCACGGTTGGCCACATGGGAGTCTAAGCACCTTAACTATCACCCCACTTGCATGTCCAAAACCCATGTGCTTTAAAACTAAATCCATTGTTTATACAGAAAAATGAAGAATACTGGGTCATAAGTTGTTTTTTTTTTTTTTGGAGAGGTTTTTGCTATAGGGTGCGTGCGCTCACCAGACAGACTGAGAGAGACAGAAAGTGAGAAATCACCCCCCAGGAGGGATGGTCACGCCACAATCCCTTCTCCTCCATTCTCCTCTCCGGATCTTGGGCACGCACGCACGCACACGCGCCCGGCGTGAGTTTTAAGCCACCAGGTCTGGACGCAAACTGTGGTCGACTACGTAGGAGTCCAGAAACATAGCCATTACGCTAACTGCTGGTTAGTGTAATAAATAAAACTCAGAAATTAAGTAACGTGGCAATGTCTTACTTTGGCTTTCCCCTAGAGTTGATTCCCACTCAGGTAAGTCTACTCTAAGCTTCCATGTTGCACCTCCGTACCTCTCTGGGTTCCTCAAGAAGAACCTTAAGAAATAATCATTTAAGGGGCCAGCTCTGCAGCACAGTGGTTAAGTGCTGCACAGAGGAGGCCAGATTCTACATGTCTGCCCGGGATCTGGACCTCAGTTCCAAAAACTGAAAAATACACTATGCATGTATTGTCGTGCCCAGAATCCTGATAGGATGGAGAACTGGAGGAAAAGGACTGCAGTGTGACGAGGTACTGTTGGAGGGTGCTTGCTTTCTCTCTTTCTTGTGTACATGTACATTTCCTCTGGCATGAAAGATCAGGTAAAATAAAAAAATACAATTTAAGATGAAGCTGTGGGGCCAGCAGGTGGCATGGTGGTTGAGGGTGCTGGACTGCCACATGGCTGACTACGGTTTGAATCCTGGACCTGGCGGCTTGCTTTCTCACACCCACAGCCCTCGTCCTCTGTCCCTCTCTGGTCAAATTTAAATAAATAAGAAAGTAAGTAAGTAAAAGATGAAGCAATTTCCAGGTGGCTGACTTAAAAGATAACAGCAGGGAGCTGGCAGGTGGTGTGGTTGTTAAGGGCACCAGACTCCCACATGGACGATCGCAGTTTGAGTCCCAGACCTGGTGGCTTGCTTTCTCTCTTAAAAAAAAAGTCTCCCTCTGGTCAAATTTAAATAAATAAATTAAGTTAAATAAAATAATTCTTTTTAAAAAATGGTAACAGCAGGGGTTTTGTTTGAAACATTATACTACCTGCTGGTCTCTTGTAATTATCATCTATTGATTTCATCCAACACACTTTCTTACTTCATTTTCTTTTTTGCTTTTTACTTCTTTTTTTTTTTCCTTTTTTGGAGAGGTTTATGCTATAGGGCACATGTGCTCGCCAGAAAGACAGAGAGAGACAGAGAGACAGAAATAATGAAATAAACCCCCCAGGGGGGATGGCCACACCGCAATCCCTTCTTCTCCATTCTCCTCTCAGGATCTTGGGCACACACGTGCACGCACCTGGCATGAGTTTAAGCCACCGAGTCCTGGACTTGAACCGCAGTCAACTACATGGGAGTCCAACATAGCCATTACGCTAACTGCAGGTCCCGCTTTTTACTTATTTTAAAGTCAGCTTTATTGAGATATATGTGCGATAAACTGCACATATTTAAAGTGTACAGTTTGAAAGATCTTAGCATGTATACACCCCTGAAACTACCACCACAACTAATTCATCACTGTGAGGTTTCCCGTGCCCCTGTGTGGTTTCCCGTGCCCCTGTGTAACCACCTCTTCTCGCTCCTCCCCACGCTCCTCACCCCTGAGCAGCCAACGATCAATCCATTTGTCTGTCACTATTGATTAGTTCACATTTCTCTAGATTTATATAACCATATGGGTTTTTCTTTTTGGTATTTTGCGTATGGTTTCCACATAGTTATTCTGAGATTTATACACACTGCTGCCTGTATCAACAGTCCATTCCAGATCACTAATCTTTTAAAGATTAAAAACCCTAATAAAAAGGACTTTAAATGATTCTGTTTCTTTAAAAAGCTGGCTCAAAACACATGCTACTTTTAAAAAAATAGTAGTTTTATGTAGATACGTGTATTACATGGCATTCTGGAGTCGTGGGAATAATCTTGTTATATTAAAGCAAACATGGATGGATGCTTTTACTTATTCCTGACACTGATTCAGACACTGTGATAGTACTACGCTAAATATTAATCTACAGATGCAATAATTAACCGCCAGTACATGTTCTTCACATAGATACTCGCTTAGAAATAAGCAAATCTGCATCGTGTTAGGTATGGAATTTTCCCTATGATATTAAGTGATATATAGGGGAAACTGTTATCTCTTAAAAAGGCAAATTTCTATCTATCAAGATTGAAACCATGTTCCCCCCACATTACTGGTCAGTTTCTTACTTTATTTTATTTTTTTAAGAGACAGGGTCAGGGGTCAGCAGGTGGCATGGTGGTTAAGGGCATGGGACTCCCGCATGGCCAACCATGGTTCAAGTCCCAGATCTGGCAGCTTGCTTTATCACTTTCCCTCCCTCTCTCTCTCTCTCTTTCTCTCTCTCTTTTTCTCTCTCTCTCTCTTTTTCTCTCTCACTCTTTCTCACTCTGTTCCTCTCTGGTCAAATTGAAAGTAATTAAATAAAGTTAAATAAATAATTTTTTTAAAAAGAGAGAGAGACAAGGTCTTGCTATGTTGTTCAGCATCACCTTGAACTCACAATCCATCTCAGTCTCCCTAGTAGCTGGGATTAAGGTACACGCCACTATGCCTGCCTAGTTTCCTCATTTTAATAAGGTAGTAATTCCTCAGTTTAGTTTCAAGTGGAGTACAGAGTGAGAAGTAAGTCAAAGGAGGAGGAAAAAATATTACCTGTTTTCCTAATTTTCTAACTGTAAACCAGTGTTCTTTATAATTGCATATAAATGATCTTTCATTTCTAGAAAAGAAAAAATACAATATTAATTTGAAATATCAGGAGTTCATATTTATTTAGTCTACTAGCATGTGTTATATAAAATTTAGTGATAATTACATGAAAGTATCACTGATCGTCTTAAAATTACAAAAGCAAGTGAACTTTTCTGCAACAGCTTAGTAATGCCACGCTAATATGAGAGCCTCAAGCACCACTCAGGGGTCAGCCCCATGCTACCGCAGATGCCAGGGGGCTAGGAAGGCTCAGAGGTCCAACATTCATGGGTATCAAAACGGTAAACTAGAAAAGTGTCAAGGAATGAAGTGGAATATCAAAACAGAAGTATTCAACATAAAATTATTGTTTAAGAAATTATAACTTCAAAAAGTCCAATTTGGGAAACGATGGAAGAAAAACAAAAAGATATCTTACATGGGATCGATCCTGAGCCTCTGATACTCTGGACTGTTGAATAGGATTAGTTCTAAACCCCAAACTTTCAAGGCATTGCTTATAACCTGTTTAAAAAAAAAAAAAAAAGGCAACTTTTCAGGAGTTAACCCATTCAATTCCAAATTCTAGTACTATAGCCATGTTGTATAAACAATTGTACTATATATATAAATTTCTCTAGAAGGCTACAGTCTTTAAGAAGAGTGTGTATACAGATGAATCACTAAATCTATAAGTAACACACACATATACATTAAGGTGCTTTGGGGACCAGCCCATGGCATGGTGGTTAAGGTGGCTGAATCCCATGTGACTGACCATACAGGGCAAAGTGATTTAAGAAAAATTTGGTGTGTCTGTACACCCAAAAATCCCAAAAAGAAAGAGATGGAGGAGAAGGGATTTCTCACTTTCTTTTTCTCTCTCTTTCTCCTTTTCTGGTGAGAGCATGCACTCTGGACAAAATTTTAAAAAAATAAAATAAAAGAGTACTTTTTATGCCAGGTTCCTGGGACATTCCAGAGAACATAATTCTATGATAAAACTATCTCAAAAGGACACATGTATACCTTAAATAGTAAATACTGTTTGTTTTTTGGGGGAGGGAGAGGTTTTTGCTATAGGGCGTGTGCGCTTGTCAGAAAGACAGAGAGAGACAGAGAGGCAGAAAGCAAGAAATCACCGGGTCCAGGACTCAAACCACAGTTGACTACATGGGAGTTCAGTGACATAGCCCTTACGCCAATTGATGGTCCCAGTAAATACTGGTTTGTTTTTTTTTTTTTTTTTTTTTTGAGAGGTTTTTGCTATAAAGCACGTGTGCTTGCCAGAAATACAGAGAGACAGGGTGACAGAAAGCAAGAAATCACCCCCCAGGGGGCATGGCCACGTTGCAATCCCTTCTCCTCTATTCTCCTCTCAGGATCTTGGACCCACACGCACAAGCACCCGATGAGTTTAAGCCACCGGGTCCGGGACTCAAACTGCAGTCAACTACATGGGAGGTCCAGCAACATAGCTATTATGTCAACTGCTGGTCCCAGTAAATAAATACTGTTTTTAAAATTAGTCCACTACATCTGATAATCTGGCTGCTATAGGTACTGCTTTAAGAAAGTCATATTTGGGAACAGTGGATGGCATAATGGATACATCACTGGACTCCCACATTGTTGATCACCGTTCAAGTTCCTGACCTGGTAGATTAAAACTCCTACTGGGCACATGTGCATGTGTGCTCAAAATCTTGAGAGGGTTTCAGAGGAGAAGGGACCGTGGCATGACCATCCTCCAGGGGGGTGATTTCTCACTTTCTGTCTCTCTCTGTCTCTCCAGTGTGTGCACATGCTTTATAGCAAAAACTTATCTTTAAAATAAAAGAAAAAGAAGGAAAGAAAAAAAGTCACATTCATCTAACTGCCTGCAACATCGGTAACTATATGTCTATTAAATAAGTTCTCCCTGGGAACTATGAGATAGTGTAATGGTCATGTTGCTGGACTCCCACATGGCTGAACATGGTTCAAGTCCCAAACCTTGTGGCTTGAAACATGCTATGAATGTGTGCATGCATGCCCAAAAATCCCAAAAGGAGAATGGAGGAGAAGGAACTGCAGTGTTGCCATCCCCTGGGGCTGGGAATGATTTGTTACTGTTTCACTGGCAAGTGCATGGGTCCTATACCAAAAAACTCTAAAAAAAAAAAAAAAAACAAAAAAAAAACCCAAAAAACAAAAACAAAAAAAACAATCATTTGGAGCCAGCAGGTGGCATGGTAGTTAAGGGCACTGGACTACTACATGATCGACTGTGGTTTGAGTCTCGGACCTGGCAACTTGCTTTCTCACTTTCCCTCTCTCTCTGTCCCTGTCTGGTCAAATTAAAAATAAATAAAGTTAAATAAAATAATTCTTAAAAAAAAAATCCCTGGGGATTTAAACAGATGGCTTCAGGTTTTAGACTTCTATGGTCACGGATTTTTAATCTGTAAACAAAAAGAAAAGGCAACCCTGATTGTTTCAATCTGTCTGAGAAAAAAAAAAAGGGAAATTTCTGAGACTATATTATCTACCATCCAATGTAGCCAACAAAGAAGTGAACAGGTACTAACTCAGATAAAAAGCAATGCAATGAATGCGTCAGTGTGAACTGGTACCAAGGGCAGAACCACACAAACAGGAAATGGCAAGTGCTGGGTCAACTCTGACCTCTGGTTCTAGACTTGCACAACCCATTACTAGTTAATAGTGGCATGATGAACCACTAGATGGAAAGGCAGGTGAAGAGGAATCTAGAAGGGTGCCGGAAGAGAATATAAAGAAAAAATATTTACAAGGGGCCAGCAAGTGGCATAGTGGCTACAGCACTGGAGTCCCACAGGGTCGAACACAGTTTGAGTCCAGACCTGGTAGCTTGAAAATCACACCAGGAGTGTGTGCGTGTGTGCCCAAAATCCTAGAAGGAGATAGGATTTAAATGTGGCCATCCCCCCAGGGGGTGATTTCTTATTTTCCCTCTCACTGTGTCTGTCTCTCTTCTCTTCAGCAAGTGCATGTGCCTTATGGCAAAAACCTTAAAAAAAAATTACAGAAACATAACTGCAGGTATAATTCACATTATTAGAAACAGATGCACAGATAAAAGAATATCTGAAGGGGACTAGCGGATGGTGTAATGGTTATATTGCTGGACTTTCATGTAGTTGACTGCAGTTCGAGTCCTGGGCCCAATGGCTTAAACTTCATGCTGGGTACGTATGTGCGTGCCTAAGATTCTGAGAGGAAAATGGAGGAGAAGGAACTGTGGCATGGCCAACCCCTAGGAGGTGATTTCTCACTTTCTGTCTCTCTGTTTCTCTCTCTGGCAGGAACACAAAACCTTTAGCAAAAATATCTCTCTCTGAAAAACTCTAAAAAAGAATATCTAAAGTACATACACTTAAAAGGGTCTTTGAAAGGTTCATGGATGCTGTGTCCCACATGGCTGAATAAAAGCATGTTCTTAAAGACGGTGGTCATGTGGACTGGAAAATAAACAAAGACAAAGACATACAAGAAAGAAAAGCAGAGATCAGGTGGTCTTGACTTCTGTGATGGAGATAGCCATGACCCTGAACTGTTTTCAGGTTTATTCTTTTAAAGTGCAGAAAAGGGGAGAAAGGGAAGTGGAATGCAAAGCCAGTTGTTTTCAGATGTTAATTGGCTCAAGATGCGAAGACATCTGGGGCCATGTAGTTCTATGTAAGTTTTCTCTAATCTTTTCAGGCCAATTCTGATTAACACATGTGGTTTCCTTTAATGATACTGCCTTGCAGTTTTGGAAACACAGAGGCTGCTAGTGTATTCATATATTAATGTCATTCATTGCCTTGCAAATGACTGCTCACGGAACCACGTTTCTGCATGTCTCTTAAGGTCACCATGTTTGTTCAGATTTGTGCCACTCCCTCCCTACACATGGAAAATTAATATTATATTAAAAAAAGTGTGGATTTCAAATTTTTCAAAGAATTATTTAATTTTATTAATTATTATTATTACTCAATTTTACCAGAGAGAGAAACAGGAAGAATAAGAAAGCAAGACGCCAGGTCTGGGACTTGAACTGCAGTCAGCCATGTGATAGTCCAGCATGTTAACTACCACACCACCTGCAGGTCCTGGATTTCTATTTTTCTTGCACCAAAGTAAACTCATATTTTAGCTCCATATTTCCGTGAGATTTTTGAGGTTCCCTTATGTAACTACAGAATTCAAAGGAAACTGTAAGTTAATTAAATAAGCTGTGGGCCATAACAAAGGAATCCAGTTCTGATAGCTGATTTAAATAGGAGCCAAGGTATTGCATTTTCCCAAATTTACCTAAGAGATAGTCAGTTTGAAACATCGTGACTTATTAGAATTTATGTTATTAGTAGCTAGATGTAAATTAAATCTCTCAAAACGAATTCTTTACAAGAATTATTTAATTTTATTTATTAAGTTATTTTAATTTGACCAGGGAGAGACAGACAGAGAGAGAGAGAGAGAAAGTGAAAAAGCAAGCCACGAAGTCCAGGACTCAAACTGTGGTCAACCATGTGGAAGTATCTAGCACCTTAACCACCATGCTACCTGCTGGGCCCTCAAAACAAACTTTTTTTTTTTAAAGAATTATTTTATTTCACTTTATTATTATTTCCAATTTGATCAGACAAATAGAGAAAGAGAGAGAGGAAAAGTGAGAAAGTAAGCCACCAGGTCTGGGATTTGAACTATGGTCGCCCATGTGGGAGTCCAGTGCCCCCAACTACCATGCCATTTGCCGACTCCTCAAAACTGTTCTTAACTTTATTCATTTATTTGTTTTAATTTGACCAGAGAGGCACAGAGAGAGAAAGTGAGAAAGTAAACTGCAATGTGTGGGCCTCGATCTGCTGTCAGCCATTTGGGAGTCTAGTGCCTTCAACACCACACCACCTGCCAGCCTCTCAGAACTAATTTTTAACATCCTAAACTAAAAGGAAGACTCTATAGTCCTAATTTTCATATTTATCCATATAAAATCTAGTACTCAACAGTATAATCATACTCTGTAACCACACTACATACTCTGGAGACGCTACAGTTTAATTTTACACTCTGTAACCACAAGTTACTGCAGGAACTTCAGAAGGTCTTATTACTACAGTGACTACGAAAGCTCTGGAACAGTACCTGGGACATAATGCTTAGCACAAGCCTGTGACCACTCACCTGAATAGAGAAAAAACCGCTGTCATCCATGTTCCCAGAAGGCTGCTGTTCGTAGATTGATGTGGGGGTAGGGA